TACATCTGTCTTAGAAGTAACTCGTCGAAGTAGGGTCCTATGGACCAAAATTTTGCCCGTTTGGCTCTATCTCGAACCGTTTGGGCGCCAGAGGGCGTTTTTCACACGGAAATAACCCCAAAACATTTTAATGTTAACTCTCAGATATTTGATGGTGTCCGGTGGAATAACTAATCAAACTGAAACCTCGCGGAACAAGATTAGTGACTTTTGGGGCCGAAGGCCTATTTACGACTGTGCCCTTTGCCCGACTCGGGTGTCAGCGCCGCAGGCCTAGGTAGATGTATGGCAGGCGCGTCGCAGCGTAACAGTGTTTCGTGAGATATCGCGAAGCCTGTTACGCGAGACGTGGTCTGGCGTACATCTACCTAGTTATCATTGTTCGATTTTTGTTATGATTAGATTGGTCATATTCCATTTAAAATGGGGGTGCAAACATAAAGTCAGACACAGGTCGTAAATATCGTTTCCAACAGTTGATTAATTGTAATGAGAAATTGATTCTCCCAGTTTGGAAATAACGCCGAAAGTCTGGCGCTGGTGTTGGTTACATTTCTGTAATTGGACATTTGACACCGAAAATGTGACATTCACAAGTTTACGTCTTGCTTTTTCAGTCACTTTAAAATGTTTGTAATCCCCTCCTCTGTTGCATTTGTGAATCATTGTACTCTCTGCCACGGTTTTTCGGGCACATATTGGCGTACTGAGTTTCGAACAAGATCTGTAACCTCGCCTTTTATAATTCGACCAAGAACCGTCAGTTGGTCCTGGGCCTGCGGGCGCCGTGCGCGCCGCCGCTGGTCTAGCCCCTGGCTGGGTAGGCAGCGTGCCCGACACGCCTGCGCAACGGGCCTGCCGGCCCGGGTCCGCAGGGGCTCCGGCCGGCCGTATGGTGTCGGGGTACCTCCCGGCGGCGGCGCGGCGTCGCTCTGTCTGCACGGGCTCCGCCTTCCCCCCTCCCCCCTCTTTCTTATGCGCGCTCTCTTGCTCTCTTTTACCTTCCAGCCCTGTCTTCTTTCCTCTCTCTCTCGATTCACATATTCGCATAGACAAGAGTGCTACGGCTGCAGCAGGGACGTTCATTTGCTGCTCGCGACGCCCTGCGCCTCGCCCTTTACAGGCTGGCTTGCTGTCTCTAGTAGTGTGTGCGCGTACTTATGTGTGTGTCTGTGTATGTGTGCGTGTGTGTGCGTGAGGCGGGCATGCCGTAACATAGTGTATTGACGAGTCGGTTTATGGACCTCCACGTCGGCTGGCCATTTTGCCAATTGCATGCCGGGGAGGGGAGGCGTGCGAGGACGATCTGACGTGGTCATCAGCCCCTTTTAAGCCCCTGCCCGTCCCGTGCCACGCGTAAATTTGAGGGGCTACTACGTGTGGTATATGTCTTTTTTGAGGGTTGCGACATGCCTGGGACGTCATATGCGTCCGACAGAATGCATGTGCACTATGTCATTACTGGCCGATCCCCTACCACACCCGTAACGGTATGTGAGTTCGTGTGTGTGTGTGTTTGTGTGTGTGTGTGTGTGTGTGCGCGCGCGCACGGCCGAAGCTCTGGACGTCTTATAGACCTTCACAAGTGTCGAGTTGTAAATCAAATCGGGGCACACACAACAGCGCACGCTCTTGGGAGGAGAGCGAGCGAGCAAGAGAGAGAAAAGGGGATGAGCACGACCCAGGCGAGCGAGCGAGAGACAAGGAGAGAGGCCCGAAACAAAGGGAGCAAATATTTTTGTTTTTAAAGGAGGTGCGCAGGGAGGTGCGGACATGTTCGGCGGGCCGGCGGGCGGGAGGAGGAGGAGGTAGGTAGGTAGGTGTCTGGCCGTTTTACGATCTACCGAGCAAGATACGCAAATGCAGGCGTGCGGGGCGAGGCAGGCGGGGCCTGTCCCTTACGGTGGTCCTCGCTGCAGTGTGTACCGATGCCCGCGGATGCCCGTGATACTAGCACTTCCCGAAGCCTGGAGGGATGCCGGGATGCCGGGGGTCATGTGGGCTGCGGGAGGGCGGCCCTGGTGGCTCGGAGGTGCTGCGGCGGCGGGTCGGCGCCGACAACAACCACAACGGGACTTTTAACCGAAAACTCATCTCCGGGGCATTTCTGTCGCCGCCTCCCGCCCGGCCGGCACCATTCATTGGCGGTGGGTATAAATCGACCACCTTTCAAAAATTTCCTTTCTCTTCTTTTGATGGCCGTCAATGGATCGGCCGTGCTTCGCTCGCTCCCTGTCTATCCGAGAACTTGTCGCCGAGGCTTTTCTTTCCCGCATCATTGTGAGCGGCGGCGGCGGCGGCGGCGGGCCAGTTATGAAGGATAGCTAGCTAGCAGGCTTTTATTTTTATCTCATTTTTCCCTTCCCTCCCTCCCTCTCTTTCTTTCTTGAGGACATTTTGTCCCCTCTTGCTGCGCAGGACACGACGGCGGTGCCACGGGAAAGAGGAAAAAAAATAATATAAAGAGGGCCACATAAAGGAAAAAGGAGAGGTGTCGTTGAGTGGCGCATCGCGAAACCACAAAACAGAGCTCGGCGCGGCCCAGGCCGCTTTTAGGTGATTGGCCGCGTTACAATAACCCAACTACATCATAACGACGCTTAAAGGCGTCGGCCCGGCGCCGGGGCGGGGCGCGGCGGTGTGGGGCAGGGCGGGGCGAAGCGGGGCGAGGCGGGGCGAGGCGGGGCGTCGACACTGTCGCCATCGCGGCAATGAGGCGGAACCTGCTGATGGGGATGACACCCGGCCGCGGCCGCGCCCAAGTGCGATGCGCTTGGATTGATACCCAAAGATGACGGGCTGATTGGTTGATTGGAACCAATCAATGCGTCATCTCCTGTCGCGGTGGAAGGTGTGGAGGGAGACAAAGGTGCCAGAAAGTGCCGCGCAGGTAAATGGCATTATGGTGAGATTCAAGGTGAAGTCCGAGCTCGTTTGATCCTAACCGAAAGAAGATGTAATTTTTCTTTTGTTTCTATTTCCCTTTGCGAAGGGCAGGCGGAGGTTGCCGGTGGGTGGCTGCTCCTGAACCAGGATCTTCCCGCGGGCGACACGCCGACTCACTGGAAGAGTTACAGGATTCCGCAAAACATATAAAGTCGAGCGGCTAAGTAGTGCTTTGGTCACCGCGCCTGCGCGTCCTGCGCGTCCGCCGCGCAGCCGGATCTGCGGAGCTGTACAAATTATTGGGCCAGCGAGGCTTCCGTCGTGCGTCATTTTTTCCCCTCACTGCAAAGCCTTTCGACCGCCCCTTTTGCACGCAATCAGATGCGCTCGTTTGGCGGAAGCCCAGAGGGAACCAGGAGCCGCCGCCGCCGCTGCCAGAACTGTGTCCTCAAATAAGCGGGAGCTGGTCAGTGCCTATGGCGGCCTGCAGGGAGGTTATTGTGCAGTTTTCGGTGCGTAAGTGCGTCTTACCGACGCGGAACGTAGTGCCCTGCGAATAGCGCAGCCCGCCCCTAATGACAGGACGAGTCCGGTGGGGCGCCGCCGGAACTGCTCCCGGAACCCTCTGGTCCCCGGTAGTGCCTGCCGGCCCTGCTGTGCGGCAGGTGGCAGGGTGCACGGTAAAAAGAATGTCTTGAAATCCGAGGAAATTTCTTCGATTTCAAGATTAGGTGGATAAATTCAAGCTTGGCCATTGAAATCCCAGAGACCCTGCACTGTTAAATTCCTACAAAGCATTTGCTTTGCAGAGCTGCGAAGTATTTTGCTCCTTTGTAACTACGAAGCATTTACTTTGCAATTACAAAGCGATGCTTTGCAATTGCAAAGCAATGAAAACGCTGCAAAGCATCGCTTTGCAATTGCAAAGTGTCACTTCGTAATTGCAAAGCATCACGTTGTAATTGCGAAGTAAATGCTTCGTAGTTACAAAGGAGCAAAATACTTCGCAGGCTTTTAACAGTGTGCCTTGAAAGCCACAGCTTCCAAGGGGAAGCCTTGGAATTTTCATCTAGTATTCAAGGGTTTTCCTTGAAGCACGAGTTGGAGTCTGGAATTTTAAGGGCCATGCAATTTTTAAATTATCCACCCAACCTTGAAATTCAAGAACTTTCCTCTGATTTCAAGACATTCTTTTTATCGTGTGTCGCTCAAAATCGGGTGTACTCGATTTGAGTATAGGACACTGTGTAGTGCCCCAGCGGATTAATATCTTCATATTTTGTTCGTATGATTTTCAAAATGTATTGTAAATCAAACTATTTTGTAAATTAACGACGGAGCCCATCATCAGATCCGTGGACAGGTTTAGTAGAGCCAACCCTTGCCTCTCCATCGCCTACATCGCATGCGAATACTCTCGGCAATAAACTCTAAGTCGATAATTAGTCCTTATTGTAATTTTTAAAATTTCAAATTGTAATTTTTCAACACGCACACCTAACCGCCCTAACAAGTATTTTTCAGAGTGATACAGGAACAGGATTAGTCTCGACCCTGCCAAAAAATGTGAAACTGCTTCTCGCATGAGAAATTGGTTGGACAACTGGGTACCACAGGCACAGGATGGTTTTAACATGCCGTGTTCTCTGCTCGACAGTGGTACCAACCGGAGCTGACGCGGATGCCCTCCGATCTGAGGGGTTCCTTCGTGGAGCTGGACTGTGACTCGGCAACGGAGGACTTCTTGGAGCAGGCCGAAGCCAAGTCGGAGAGCATCCTCTTGCAGCTCTGGCACTCTCTCGTCAAGTTGCTTCTAGGCTGGTTTTTCACTCAAACCTCCCTCAACGGGTAAGTACCTCCACGTGGATTTATCGGAAAAAAACTAGTATCACTGATAAACTAAGTGTTCAACTGCTCAACACTTCTAAGTGTGCAACTGTAAGTTAAATACTTGCAAGTGTGCAACTGCAAGTTAAATACTTCCAAGTGTGCAACTCGGTAGGTGTGCACTTGCAAGTGTGCAACTCCTCGGTTGAACACTTCCTTAGATTGGACGCTTACTGTGTAGGAAGTGCTCAACCGAGGAGTTGCACACTTGCAATAAGTGCACACCTACCGAGTTTAACACGTGCGAGTGCACGACTACGGAGTTGCACACTTGCAAGTATTCAACTTGCAGTTGCACACTTACAAGTGATGAGCAGTTGAACACTTAGTTTATCAGTGATTACATGTGCTTCAGCCGCCACAATGCTGTTAAAATATTACAAAGCCTTCCCTTTGTTAGCTTTCAAAGAATCCGATTCCCTTGCATTACGAAGCATTGCTTTCTATCAAAAAGAATCACTCTCTAAATATGTCCAAGGACAATAATTGTAATTGGCACCAGACTTTTGCGTGCACTAATGAGTTCAGATTCAATAGTGTAACTAAGTATTGTAAACTCAATTATGCACACAGAGTTCCGCTTTGCTAAAAATAATTATTTTCGTTGGAATGCCAAAATCTTGTCCAGCGTCTTAAAATTGGTAAGCTGAGCATGTCTAGAGAACTCAGCAAGCTAAAAGAGTTCATAAGTTTTTGGTGTACTAGTAGAAGGTGCTTTTTGGTTTCAAATCAGGGCTCCGCAATTACGAAGCATTTCGAATTTGCCTCGGACGGAATTTTGCTTTGCAAACGGTTTTAACTGTTCTGCACTCCAAAACCCTGCATTTCAGCTTTGCTCCACCATAGGTAGTACCGTCCATAGGTACAGTATGTTCGCCAGAATAGTACGAATCCGGATCCAGCCATAGCTCTGAACTTTGTGCCGAGTGACTGCCCGCGCCACGGGAACATACCCGGGGGCGTCTCGTCCTGAAAGGATGCGGCAGCCGTTGTAATGAGAGCGGACTCTCATTCATGACCCGCGGACCCATTCAGGGGCCCGTCCCTAAACGGCACACATTTTATAGGAGGGGGGACGGCGGGGGGCATTGATGCGGCCATTGTATGGGCCGGGCCCACTTTCTATATAAAGTTTCGTTTTGGCCTGTGAAGTTCTCCCAGGCTCCTCCGTCCATCCAGACCGGACCCGACCGGACCAGGCGTAATAGTGCATTGCAGTTGGAAACTTTATAAAAGAGCTTGCGTACAGCCGGGGCGAGGCGGGCTGGGGCGGGGAACGCGACGGCGGCAGCGGCGAAATTGCGGAACCGCCATTATGTATAAAATGACGATCTTTCTTTAACAGAGGATGAGCTGTCGGCTTCCGAGTGACGCTATTCAGCGCACAACGAATCTGGAAGACGGGGCGGGGCGTGGCTGGGGGAGGGCGCCGCGCGGCGGAGCCAGGCGGAGCGGTCACGGCTCAACTGCGCTGTTATTTGTGATCGAAATATGAATGACGCGCCGCCCAAACGTATTGAAGACGGTGGCGCTGGGAACCTGCGAGCGAGGCGAGGACCCGCAATGAGCGGGCAGCGGCGGCGAGAGCGAGCGAGGCTGGCCAGGGCCGCGCCACAGGCGCCACAGTGGGAAAAATCTGGTTGTAATTCGTGCTTGCGGTGTGACCGGTAGGCAATGGCGACTGGCGCCGCCCTCCTATTGCTGAGACTTTCGCACCTCCTCCATTTTGAACACGCCTTTTATTCTTCATCCAGAGGCAGGTGTGGTTGGAGCTAGATGTTGCTTGCTGCCGTGACCGTGACTTGAAGACACCCACCCTTTGCTCCACGCGGTGCCCGGTCTCTCTCTCTCTCTCTCTCTCTCTCTCTCTCTCTCTCTCTCTCTCTC